GGCGCCTCAAAAACCGCTCTCCCACCTTTAAGCTAGGGCTCAGTTATTGAGTGACGCCTCTCCCCCCCCTCTTCTCCTTCCTCCGCTTTTGAGGCGCCTCAAAAACCGCTCTCCCACCTTTAAGCTAGGGCTCAGTTATTGAGTGACGCCTCTCCCCCCCTCTTCTCCTTCCTCCGCTTTTGAGGCGCCTCAAAAACCGCTCTCCCACCTTTAAGCTAGGGCTCAGTTATTGAGTGACGCCTCTCCCCCCCCTCTTCTCCTTCCCCCGCTTTTGAGGCGCCTCAAAAAACCGCTCTCCCACCTTTAAGCTAGGGCTCAGTTATTGAGTGACGCCTCTCCCCCCCCTCTTCTCCTTCCTCCGCTTTTGAGGCGCCTCAAAAACCGCTCTCCCACCTTTAAGCTAGGGCTCAGTTATTGAGTGACGCCTCTCCCCCCCCTCTTCTCCTTCCCCCGCTTTTGAGGCGCCTCAAAAACCGCTCTCCCACCTTTAAGCTAGGGCTCAGTTATTGAGTGACGCCTCTCCCCCCCCTCTTCTCCTTCCTCCGCTTTTGAGGCGCCTCAAAAACCGCTCTCCCACCTTTAAGCTAGGGCTCAGTTATTGAGTGACGCCTCTCCCCCCCCTCTTCTCCTTCCCCGCTTTTGAGGCGCCTCAAAAACCGCTCTCCCACCTTTAAGCTAGGGCTCAGTTATTGAGTGACGCCTCTCCCCCCCCTCTTCTCCTTCCTCCGCTTTTGAGGCGCCTCAAAAACCGCTCTCCCACCTTTAAGCTAGGGCTCAGTTATTGAGTGACGCCTCTCCCCCCCCTCTTCTCCTTCCCCCGCTTTTGAGGCGCCTCAAAAACCGCTCTCCCACCTTTAAGCTAGGGCTCAGTTATTGAGTGACGCCTCTCCCCCCCCTCTTCTCCTTCCTCCGCTTTTGAGGCGCCTCAAAAACCGCTCTCCCACCTTTAAGCTAGGGCTCAGTTATTGAGTGACGCCTCTCCCCCCCCTCTTCTCCTTCCTCCGCTTTTGAGGCGCCTCAAAAACCGCTCTCCCACCTTTAAGCTAGGGCTCAGTTATTGAGTGACGCCTCTCCCCCCCCTCTTCTCCTTCCTCCGCTTTTGAGGCGCCTCAAAAACCGCTCTCCCACCTTTAAGCTAGGGCTCAGTTATTGAGTGACGCCTCTCCCCCCCCTCTTCTCCTTCCTCCGCTTTTGAGGCGCCTCAAAAACCGCTCTCCCACCTTTAAGCTAGGGCTCAGTTATTGAGTGACGCCTCTCCCCCCCCTCTTCTCCTTCCTCCGCTTTTGAGGCGCCTCAAAAACCGCTCTCCCACCTTTAAGCTAGGGCTCAGTTATTGAGTGACGCCTCTCCCCCCCCTCTTCTCCTTCCTCCGCTTTTGAGGCGCCTCAAAAACCGCTCTCCCACCTTTAAGCTAGGGCTCAGTTATTGAGTGACGCCTCTCCCCCCCCTCTTCTCCTTCCCCCGCTTTTGAGGCGCCTCAAAAACCGCTCTCCCACCTTTAAGCTAGGGCTCAGTTATTGAGTGACGCCTCTCCCCCCCCTCTTCTCCTTCCTCCGCTTTTGAGGCGCCTCAAAAACCGCTCTCCCACCTTTAAGCTAGGGCTCAGTTATTGAGTGACGCCTCTCCCCCCCCTCTTCTCCTTCCCCGCTTTTGAGGCGCCTCAAAAACCGCTCTCCCACCTTTAAGCTAGGGCTCAGTTATTGAGTGACGCCTCTCCCCCCCCTCTTCTCCTTCCTCCGCTTTTGAGGCGCCTCAAAAACCGCTCTCCCACCTTTAAGCTAGGGCTCAGTTATTGAGTGACGCCTCTCCCCCCCCTCTTCTCCTTCCTCCGCTTTTGAGGCGCCTCAAAAACCGCTCTCCCACCTTTAAGCTAGGGCTCAGTTATTGAGTGACGCCTCTCCCCCCCCTCTTCTCCTTCCTCCGCTTTTGAGGCGCCTCAAAAACCGCTCTCCCACCTTTAAGCTAGGGCTCAGTTATTGAGTGACGCCTCTCCCCCCCCTCTTCTCCTTCCTCCGCTTTTGAGGCGCCTCAAAAACCGCTCTCCCACCTTTAAGCTAGGGCTCAGTTATTGAGTGACGCCTCTCCCCCCCCTCTTCTCCTTCCTCCGCTTTTGAGGCGCCTCAAAAACCGCTCTCCCACCTTTAAGCTAGGGCTCAGTTATTGAGTGACGCCTCTCCCCCCCCTCTTCTCCTTCCCCCGCTTTTGAGGCGCCTCAAAAACCGCTCTCCCACCTTTAAGCTAGGGCTCAGTTATTGAGTGACGCCTCTCCCCCCCCTCTTCTCCTTCCTCCGCTTTTGAGGCGCCTCAAAAACCGCTCTCCCACCTTTAAGCTAGGGCTCAGTTATTGAGTGACGCCTCTCCCCCCCCTCTTCTCCTTCCCCCGCTTTTGAGGCGCCTCAAAAACCGCTCTCCCACCTTTAAGCTAGGGCTCAGTTATTGAGTGACGCCTCTCCCCCCCCTCTTCTCCTTCCTCCGCTTTTGAGGCGCCTCAAAAACCGCTCTCCCACCTTTAAGCTAGGGCTCAGTTATTGAGTGACGCCTCTCCCCCCCCTCTTCTCCTTCCTCCGCTTTTGAGGCGCCTCAAAAACCGCTCTCCCACCTTTAAGCTAGGGCTCAGTTATTGAGTGACGCCTCTCCCCCCCCTCTTCTCCTTCCTCCGCTTTTGAGGCGCCTCAAAAACCGCTCTCCCACCTTTAAGCTAGGGCTCAGTTATTGAGTGACGCCTCTCCCCCCCCTCTTCTCCTTCCTCCGCTTTTGAGGCGCCTCAAAAACCGCTCTCCCACCTTTAAGCTAGGGCTCAGTTATTGAGTGACGCCTCTCCCCCCCCTCTTCTCCTTCCTCCGCTTTTGAGGCGCCTCAAAAACCGCTCTCCCACCTTTAAGCTAGGGCTCAGTTATTGAGTGACGCCTCTCCCCCCCCTCTTCTCCTTCCTCCGCTTTTGAGGCGCCTCAAAAACCGCTCTCCCACCTTTAAGCTAGGGCTCAGTTATTGAGTGACGCCTCTCCCCCCCCTCTTCTCCTTCCTCCGCTTTTGAGGCGCCTCAAAAACCGCTCTCCCACCTTTAAGCTAGGGCTCAGTTATTGAGTGACGCCTCTCCCCCCCCTCTTCTCCTTCCTCCGCTTTTGAGGCGCCTCAAAAACCGCTCTCCCACCTTTAAGCTAGGGCTCAGTTATTGAGTGACGCCTCTCCCCCCCCTCTTCTCCTTCCTCCGCTTTTGAGGCGCCTCAAAAACCGCTCTCCCACCTTTAAGCTAGGGCTCAGTTATTGAGTGACGCCTCTCCCCCCCCTCTTCTCCTTCCTCCGCTTTTGAGGCGCCTCAAAAACCGCTCTCCCACCTTTAAGCTAGGGCTCAGTTATTGAGTGACGCCTCTCCCCCCCCTCTTCTCCTTCCTCCGCTTTTGAGGCGCCTCAAAAACCGCTCTCCCACCTTTAAGCTAGGGCTCAGTTATTGAGTGACGCCTCTCCCCCCCCTCTTCTCCTTCCTCCGCTTTTGAGGCGCCTCAAAAACCGCTCTCCCACCTTTAAGCTAGGGCTCAGTTATTGAGTGACGCCTCTCCCCCCCCTCTTCTCCTTCCCCCGCTTTTGAGGCGCCTCAAAAACCGCTCTCCCACCTTTAAGCTAGGGCTCAGTTATTGAGTGACGCCTCTCCCCCCCCTCTTCTCCTTCCCCGCTTTTGAGGCGCCTCAAAAACCGCTCTCCCACCTTTAAGCTAGGGCTCAGTTATTGAGTGACGCCTCTCCCCCCCCTCTTCTCCTTCCCCCGCTTTTGAGGCGCCTCAAAAACCGCTCTCCCACCTTTAAGCTAGGGCTCAGTTATTGAGTGACGCCTCTCCCCCCCTCTTCTCCTTCCCCCGCTTTTGAGGCGCCTCAAAAACCGCTCTCCCACCTTTAAGCTAGGGCTCAGTTATTGAGTGACGCCTCTCCCCCCCTCTTCTCCTTCCCCCGCTTTTGAGGCGCCTCAAAAACCGCTCTCCCACCTTTAAGCTAGGGCTCAGTTATTGAGTGACGCCTCTCCCCCCCCTCTTCTCCTTCCTCCGCTTTTGAGGCGCCTCAAAAACCGCTCTCCCACCTTTAAGCTAGGGCTCAGTTATTGAGTGACGCCTCTCCCCCCCTCTTCTCCTTCCCCCGCTTTTGAGGCGCCTCAAAAACCGCTCTCCCACCTTTAAGCTAGGGCTCAGTTATTGAGTGACGCCTCTCCCCCCCTCTTCTCCTTCCTCCGCTTTTGAGGCGCCTCAAAAACCGCTCTCCCACCTTTAAGCTAGGGCTCAGTTATTGAGTGACGCCTCTCCCCCCCCTCTTCTCCTTCCTCCGCTTTTGAGGCGCCTCAAAAACCGCTCTCCCACCTTTAAGCTAGGGCTCAGTTATTGAGTGACGCCTCTCCCCCCCCTCTTCTCCTTCCCCCGCTTTTGAGGCGCCTCAAAAACCGCTCTCCCACCTTTAAGCTAGGGCTCAGTTATTGAGTGACGCCTCTCCCCCCCCTCTTCTCCTTCCCCCGCTTTTGAGGCGCCTCAAAAACCGCTCTCCCACCTTTAAGCTAGGGCTCAGTTATTGAGTGACGCCTCTCCCCCCCCTCTTCTCCTTCCTCCGCTTTTGAGGCGCCTCAAAAACCGCTCTCCCACCTTTAAGCTAGGGCTCAGTTATTGAGTGACGCCTCTCCCCCCCCTCTTCTCCTTCCTCCGCTTTTGAGGCGCCTCAAAAACCGCTCTCCCACCTTTAAGCTAGGGCTCAGTTATTGAGTGACGCCTCTCCCCCCCCTCTTCTCCTTCCTCCGCTTTTGAGGCGCCTCAAAAACCGCTCTCCCACCTTTAAGCTAGGGCTCAGTTATTGAGTGACGCCTCTCCCCCCCCCCTCTTCTCCTTCCTCCTTGCAGCCTGCACTCGAGTACCACGCTAGAGCAGAAGTGGAAGGGGATTCTCCTTTGCCAATGACTTCCGAGGTGCCTCAACATATATGTCCTTCTCACCACCATTCCACCCCCCCTCTCCTCCTTCCTCCCTGCAGCCTGCACACAAGTACCGCATGACAGCAGCAGTGGAAGGGGGCTTCTCGTTTACCAGTGACTTGGCCCCGACCAATGGTGTTGGGGGCACAGCACCCACGTAAGAGGGGGAAGGAGAAGAGTTCTGGAAACAGGGACTGCAGTGGCTTATGACCTCGTGACAGCAGCAGTGGAAGGGGGCTTCTCGTTTACCAGTGACTTAGCCCTGACCAATGGTGTTGGGGGCACAGCACCCACGTAAGATGGGGGGAGTGGGTGAGAGAGTCAGTTAGGGTGTCGCAGAGGGAGAGAAGGGAGAGACGAGGATGGGGAATAAAAAGGGCGGGGGGAAGGAGGAGAAGGGGATGGGGAAGGGAGAGACGGGGGGAGGGGATTAGAGTCGGTTAGGGTAGAGCAGGGGGAGAAAAGGGATAGACGAGGATGGGGATGAAGGGAGACTGCCTGCCTTTCTTTCTTTCAGGCGTTTATGCCCTACCAACGTGATTCTGCTGAGTGGGCCTTTCTCCGCCGCGAGGCACTCAGTAGTTCAGTTTTGAGATGACTCAAAACTTAAGGCAGAACTTAGTGGGCTGCGGAGTGCAAGAGTGAATGTGGTTTTGAATGTGAGTTCATGTTCTATCTTCGCGCCTTCTCTCCCCTCCTGCAATCCCATTGGTCGGACTACGCAGCGACAGCAGCAGCTGGCATATGCTGTGCAGTGTAGACTTCAAAATATTCATGTACATACATGTACACAGATGCATACACACATACACATCTGTACGTAAGAATATATGTTCCACACCTACCCCCTCTCTCCCCTCCTCTAGCCCCGTGGAGTACGCAGCAGCAGCATTCGCCACGCGCAGAGTACACAGTAGATGTATAGATATGTATATATATACTTCTATTTATATATAGAAACGTACATGCATTTTAATACACGTTCCACTCCTTCCCCCGTCTCCCCCCCTCCAGCCCCATGGACTATGCAGCGGCAGCAGTTGCCATGTGCACAGCCACCACTGTCAGATTAGTAAGTGGCGGGGTTGTTTTGCTCTAAGTTGTGGCTGGTTTTTTTTGGCTGGTGGGTGGTGGGGCTGTTTTGCTGTGAATGGTAAACCCCTTCCTTTCCTTGTCTCTCATGCTTTTTCTTTCTTTCTTTCTTTTTACTGTGTTATGTGTTCTTAAAATCTATCAGTTCACATCCTTGCATCCAACGGCCGTGTTATTGTCATCTTTATCCCAAATAGATGCAAGTCAATCATTCTTAAAATAATCGCCACCCTTTCCTATGTGAGTTCGGAGTTGGACTTCGTGAGAAGGTGCAATTGCACCGTTCCGAAGCTGCGAATCATCGGCAATATCGGGATTAACGGTCGTGGGGTGAGTGTGTCTGCCAGCCATACATGTTAATGTTTGTTTGTCGGTTTATGTCGTGACAAATAAACCAATGAATGGTTGACACACGCACTCACTCTGTATCCGTTGATCCCGATAATGTCGATGACTGGCAGCTTCGGTACAGTGTAGTTGCAGCTTTTCACTTAGTAGACCACATACAAAAGGGTGACGTTTTTTTTTTAGAATCGTTTGTTGGGATATAGAATGTCATGGGCACAGTAACATCATAGGGATTATGTAAAAAAATGTGGGAAGGTACAGCATAAGATGAGATGGTGAGCGGGTTGGTGGGTAGGCCGGTATACCAAGTGGTTTGCAAAGGACTGTGCAGCAGCAATCGCCATGTGCATCACCGCCACCACCATGCGCCTGGTAGGTTTAGGGGCTGGTTGGTTGTGAGCTACGGAGTGGGTAGCTAGGCTGATATACCGAGTGAATTGCGATGGACTACGCAGCAGCAGTTGCCATGTGCACTGCTTCCATTGCCAGGCTGGTATGTGCTGGGGCTGGTTGGCTGTGAAGCTGGTAGGTGGGGGGCTGGTTTGCTGTGAGGCCGGCAGGTGGGGGGGCTGGTTCGCTGTGAGCTACAGGGTGGATGGCCAGGCTTGTTTATGTGGTTGCGATTTTCTATGCAGCGTGGTGACTTTTGAGTCGACTCAAAGGTTACCTTGTTAATATGTCCCATGAGGTACCGATTGGATGGCAAGGCTGGTCCACGGGGTTACGAAGGGCTCTGCAGCAGCTGCAGTTGCTGTGTGCAGCGCTGCCACCGTCAGACTGGTAGGCAATCATTCTTAAGTACATAAGTCTTCTCAACTATCTGTCTTTAATACCACTGTGTCATTGCTAAGCACATAAGTACTCCTCCCACATAAGCGTCCGACCGGCTATGTGGTGTGGTGGGTCAATGTTTGAGGCGCCTCGAGAATCGACTCATCACAGGTGGAAGGGGGAGCTGTACGGAAGGTGTGTCAGCCGCGCTGTTGAAGCTGGTTGGGTGTATTCCTCCCACACCTATCGTCTTGTGAGATGTCGATGATGACATGACATGGCATGACATGACATGACATGACATGACATTACATGACATGACATGACAAAGAGACCACAACCAACCCGTTTGATCCGGAAGGTGGGTCCTCTGCCTGACATGAAGGTGGGTCCTCTGCCTGACATGAAGGTGGGTCCATTAATCATCATCGCATGCTGACATCCGCCCCCCTGACCCACATTGCTGTGCTGTTACTGTGCTGCGACCAACCTCCATTCCCTGTTCCTCCCGTGACTGCTCCACCTCCCTTCCTCTCTCTTCCTCTCTCTTCCTCTCTCTTCCCCTCCCTTCCTCTCCCTCCCCCTTCCTTCCCCTCCCTTCCTCTCCCTCCCCCTTCCTTCCCCTCCCTTCCTCTCCCTCCCCCTTCCTTCCCCTCCCTTCCTCTCCCTCCCCCTTCCTTCCTCTCTCTTCCCCTTCCTTCCCCTTCCTTCCCCTCCCTTCCCCTCCCTTCCCCTCCCTTCCCTTTTGCCATCGCCTGCAGTACGCTGATCGTAAGCAGTGGCCTTTGACTCACATCGCTGTTACAGTAACCAACCGCTATCCCCTCCTGCCTCATACCCTCTCCCCCACGCCCTCCTGCCTTCCCTTTTGCCATCGCCTGCAGTACGCGGACCGGAAGCAGTGGTCTCTGACTCACATCGCTGTTACGGTGGAACCAACCACCCCGTTACCTCGTGAGCTCCACACCCCTCTTCATTACTTCACCTTTCCATTCAGTTTTGAGATGTTTCAAAAATCGTAAGCAGCTGCCTCTAACTCACATCGCTGTTTTGAGGCGCCTCAAAGCTAGAATCGGAAGCAGCGGCGTCTGACTCGCATCGCTGTTACAGTGGAACCAACCACCCCGTTACCTCGTGAGCTGCACCTCCCGCCTTCCCTCCTCACCCTTGCACCTCCCGCCCGGCCCCCTTTGTTTTTACCCCACAACCCCCCGTTGTTTTACCCCTCCCCTCTGGTCGTTTTCGTTTGTCTCTGTGCCTCTTATTCAATATGCCATGCCTTCAGTGGTACTACTACTTGCATTCACTCCACTGTCGGCCAATTCCTTCACACGAATTTCAACCATTAATGGAATAAACATTCCACAATCCAACCTCATGCGGCCAGGTTCTGTGCACTAAAAGGTCCGGCCACTTCTCTCACTCCACTTCATTTCTGTTGCCTTTGAGTTTTAAGGCGCCTCAAAAATATCCTGCCCTCCCCCCTCCCAACCTCATGCTCCCAGGTTCCGTGCACTAAATGTCAGGCCTATTCTCTCGCTTCACTTCACTTCTGTTGCCCCTATTCTTAAGCACCTAAAACTTACCCTGCCTTCCCCCCTCCCAATCTCATGCAGCCAGGTTCCGTGCACTATATGTCCGGCCAATTCTCTCACTCCACTTCTTTTCTGTTGCCGCTATTTTTGAGGCGCTTAAAAAATATCCTGCCCTCCCCCCTCCCAACCTCATGCGGCCAGGTTCCGTGCACTATATGTCCGGCCACTTCTCTCACTCCACTTCCCCACTGTTGCCTCTATGCATACTGATTTCCCTTCCATTCTTCAGATGGAAGGTTACCGGAAGGCCTACGCTTGTTGTTACGCTTAGAAGGACCCCTTTCTGCAGAACAAAAGGAGAGGCTTCTGGAAATTGCCGGTGAGCACTTCAACAAATACTCAGCAGTTTCTTTCGCTGGCTTGCAAGGGGAAGAAACTAATTTTCTTTTGCTTATGTGTGTAGGTAAATGCCCAGTGAAGCAAATGATGCTTGGTAAAATGCCTCAAGCTATAAAGACGACTCTTGTTGACACCTAATTCAAAACCCCCTGTGCTTGGGCACGAGATCTTGGTACGGCTTGAATTGTGTTTTGTAAATACTAGGTGGAGAAGCTACAAGTATTGTTTCCACCTTTGCACTTCAGTGTATGGTGAGAAAGGCCTTCCATCACCAGGAACCACCACGCCACCACGCCACACCACCTATCTCTCCCAAGCAGCGTATCGAGCCTTGGTTAGACATTCCATGCTTTGCAAGACGGACATGAGACAGGACAGACACAGGACACAGGACACGGGACACGGGACACGGGACACGGGACAAGGGACACGGGACACGGGACACGGGACACGGGACACGGGACACGGTGTCAACTTATACATATGCTGTATGTAGAAGTTATAGGCTAGTCTAGGTGTGTGCTTCTAGTGAGTACAACCCCAACAGGTACATGTTCTAGGTTTCTCACACTAGTCTATTCATTCTCTCTTTCTAACATGGTATCATGAGTAGGTTAGGTTCCTCTCGCCCGCCCACGCTTCCGCCCTAGGCCCTAGCCGCCCTCGTGACCCGTCCCTAGCTCGCCCCCCCCCTGGCCGTCGCGCCCGCCCCTAGCTGGCCCCCTGGCCGTCGCGTCCGCCCCTAGCCGGCCCCCTGGCCGTCGCGTCCACCCCTAGCCGGCCCCCTGGCCGTCGCGCCCGCCCCTAGCCGGCCCCCTGGCCGTCACACCCGCCCCTAGCCGGCCCCCTGGCCGTCGCGTCCGCCCCTAGCCGGCCCCCTGGCCATCGCGTCCGCCCCTAGCCGGCCCCCTGGCCGTCGCGCCCGCCTCTAGCTGGCCCCCTGGCCGTCGCGTCCGCCCCTAGCCGGCCCCCTGGCCGTCGCGTCCGCCCCTAGCCGGCCCCCTGGCCGTCGCGCCCGCCCCTAGCCGGCCCCCTGGCCGTCGCGCCCGCCCCTAGCCGGCCCCCTGGCCGTCGCGCCCGCCCCTAGCCGGCCCCCTGGCCGTCGCGCCCGCCCCTAGCCAGCCCCCTGGCCGTCGCGTCCGCTCCTAGCCGGCCCCCTGGCCGTCGCGTCCGCCCCTAGCCGGCCCCTCCTAGCGCCCGCCCGGCCTCTCCACAGCGCCCGCCCGGCCCCTCCTAGTGCTCGCCCGGCCCCTTCTAGCGCCCGCCCGGCCTGTTGCGCCCTCCCGTCCCAGTGCCTTCTCGGCTCCTCCGGCTTCGTGTCTTCTGCTCGGCACGGTTCCTCGAGTCTCCGGCCTCGTGTCTTCTGCTTCCCAGTGCTAGAGCGTCCTGCAAACGTCCCCCTGGAGCTGTGCTGCTGTGTCCCTATGCCGCTGTGTCCTGTGGAGCTGTGCCGCTGTGTCCCTGTGTCGCTGACCCTGCACGATGGCTGGCTTCGTCCTCCACCTGGACGCTGAGGGCCACGCGGTTGACTTCGCCGCCTGGCTGTCCGATCTCCGCCGTCAACTCACAGGTCAGCGCCAGGATGGGCATACATTGGTTGTCCATGCTGATGGCTTGCTCCTCCGCCCCCCTGCGCCTGCTCCCCTCCCTGCTAACCCCACCTCTGCTGAGCGTGAGACTTTCTCCGCTGCTGCACTTGCCTGTGCCGTCTGGGACTCTCGCGATGCAGTTGCTCAGGTCGCTATCAGTCATGCCCTCCCTGTGTCTAAGCGCTCGCGTTTTGCTACAGTTGATACAGCCAAGGCTTACCTAGATGCTGTTGTTGCTCGCTATTCCATGCCTGCCTCTGCTACTGCAGGCCGCCGGCTCTTCCCTATGCTTTTCCCAGACCTTGCTTCCTTCCCTACTGTTGCTGACCTTGCCATTCACCTGCGCGCCCTAGAGTCTCGCTACCACACTGCTAGCACTGCTGCCCAGCTCACTGCCCTCCCTCCCCCCTTCTGCATGACCCTCTACTTTATCGCCATGCGCCTGCCTGACCGCCTTGCTAGTGCACGTGACCACATCCTTAGCCAGCACCCGGGTGATCTCACCCTGCCAGCCTTTGTCACCGCCCTGACCGAGATCGAGACTCGCCAGCGCACTATCGCTCAGTCAAGCGGTGCGCCCGCAATCTCTATCTTTCACGGCTGTGCCCCCTCCCAGTGCACGTTTACTGACGTTTCGGCTGCGGTTGCCACTGCGGCCCCTCTGACCGAGACGACAGCTGTGGTAAACCTGCAGCAGCGCTCGCGCTGCGCCGGTCGTGGCCGCCAGGGAGGGCGTGGTGGTGGAGCTGGTGGTAGTAGTGGTGGTACCGGGGATAGTGGTTCTACTGAGGGGACTGCCTCAGCTAGTCAGGAGCAGCAGCCGTCGCCCCAGCAGCAAGAGCAGCCGCAGCAGCAGTTGCAGTCATCGCAGCAGCTGTCCCAGTCCCCGCCGTGGACTCGTCTCCCCCCGGGTTGGCCCGGCACCTCAGTAGGTGGTGGACGTCGTGGCGGCCCGCGCAGCTTGGCGTCTACCGGCAGCTCCGTTGGTGTGACTTGCCAGTACCAGTTTCAGACCGGGCCTCTCCGCGGAACTCTGTGCCGCCGCCCGCACCCGACCGCCGCTGTTTCTGCCGCCTCGACGATCTCTTTCGTCGTCGCTTTGGCCCGGCCCCGGACCTCCCCGACTGGCACAGCCTGCTTCGCCAGAGCGTGCCGATCTTTGATTTAGATATGGATCAGATAGGTGCTGCTTTGCATGCCTTGTATGCTGACGCTTCTAGTGTTGCTGGAAGTTATTACCCTGTGTACTCTAGTTTAGGCGTAGCACCCTTGTGTAGCTTAGCCTCCCCTGCTGCGTCAGGCGTAGGACTGCCTAGTTTGCCTAGCCTAGTTTCTGCACCGGCTCCGTTCCCGCCCTCTGCTACTGCCTCGCTATCCTTCACTCTCGACTCCGGTGCTTCTGCCTGTTTCTTCCGCGACCACTCCACGCTCACGCTGCTTGCTGCGCCTGCTATTGTCGCTCTCGCTGACCCCTCCGCGGGTCCTGTCGTCGCTCGCAGCTCCACTTCCCTTCCCTGTTCAGCCGTTCCCTCGGGCTCTCTTACAGGCCTCCACGTTCCCTCGTTCTCCAGGAACCTGGTTGGTGTCGGCCGTCTTCAGGACCTCGGCGTCATCACTACGTTCCCTGGGCACGAGCGGTTCGCTGTCTGTACCGAGGCAGTCTTAGGTTCCCCCCTTGCGACGTTCCCCCGGGACCCGGTGTCCGGTCTGTTTACCCTCGACACTGCTTCCCCCCCGGTTGGTGCGTCCTCCAAGGTCGCTGCAGCTTGCTCGTGTCGGTACCTCACACACCCGTCCCTTCTATGGCACCACCGCTTAAGTCACCCTGCTCTCCCGCGCCTGCGTCGCATGTCTCAGCACGGTCTTGTCTTAGGCCTCCCCGAGTCGCTCCCCGCACTTCCCCTCTCGACGCGCCACCGTGCACGCCTTGCGTCAAGGGCCGGCTCCGCCGTGTCCCTCACTCCTTCTCGCTTCGCCCTGCTACTGCTCCACCTCAGACCCTGCACCTGGACGTTTGGGGCCCAGCCCCCGTCCCCGGACCGCGCGATGAGAGCTACTTTCTAGTGCTCGTTGACGACTACACGAGCTACACCACGGTGTTTCCCCTGGAGCGGAAGGCCGGCGTGCCCGACGTTCTTCTCCCGTGGGTTGTGGCTGCGCGTCTTCACCGCGGTCTCCCCGTGTTGTGTCTCCACTCTGACCGTGGCGGTGAGTTCGCCTCTGGTCGGCTTGGACAGTTCTGTCGTGCGGAGGGCATCACCCAGCCGTACACCTTGCCGGACTCGCCACAGCACAATGGGGTTGCTGAGCGCCGCATCGGCTTGGTCATGGAGGTTGCTCGTACCTCCATGATTCATGCCGATGCCCCCCATTTTCTGTAGCCGTTCGCTGTTCGCTACGCTGCTCACCAGCTTAACTTGTGGCCATGCTCCCAGCGGCCGCAGGTTTTGCCGACCCTCCTTTGGACCGGGTCCCCCGGTGACACGTCTGCGTTCCACGTCTGGGGTTGCCTTGCTCGCATTCGTGCCTCTGGCACGGACAAGCTCACTGCCCGCACTGTCCCCTGTGTTTTCCTCGGTTTCCCCCTGGACTCATATGACTGGCTGTTCTACCACCCGCAGTCTCACCGCTTCCTTCACTCTCGTGACGCCACCTTTGACGAGTCTGTCTCCTTCTACCGCCGCTTCCCTCACCGAGGTCTCCCGGTTCCCCCCCCCTTGTTCCTTGCTCCCTCTCTCCCGGTAGCCCCTGCTCCCCTCCCGCCTCGTCCTGCCCCGTCTGGTGTCTCCCATGTCACTCCCCTCCCGTCGGTTGTCCCCTTTGAGGAGTCTGCTGACTGTGGTGGTCCCCCCGGCCCGTTCTTGTCGCGTCCCCCTTCCCTGGTATCTCCGCCTCCGCTGTCGCAGCCGCCGCCGCCGCAGCTGCCGCTCTTGGCCTATGGGGGTGCTGGCGTTGAGGAGGGTGTTCGTCCTGCGGCCCCTGGCGTGGTCTGTCCCGGCGGGCCTGGGGGTGCCGCTGGTGCTGGAGGGGGTTCTCGCTCTGGGGTTGTTGGTTCTGGGGTTGCTGCCATTGAGTGTTCTCCCGGCGGTCGTCGTGCCCCTGACGGTCCGAGGGTCGAGCACCAGCCATCGCAGCAGCCGTCGCCGCCGGTCTCCGCTCTTCGCCTGCTCGGCCTTCCTTCCTCTGACCGCTCGCCGGTGTCTTCCCCACCACCTTCTCACCTTCCTGTCTACGGTCCTGTGTTCCCGCCGCCGGACTCGTCTCCGGCCCGTCTTCCTCCTCGTTCCCCTTTTGTGTCCCCCCTGTTGTCTCCTGACCCTACACCTACGTCCCACGTTTGGTCTCGCCGTCCCTCACGTGCTCGTCCCGTCTCTCCTGTCCTGCGCTCCCACCCCATGTTGCTCCGTTCCCACTTGTCTCGTCCTCCCCTCCTCCCCTCGCCTCCTCCCTCGTCGCTTGTTGTTGCACCTCCCCTGCTGTCTGACTACCTCCGTGCCGCTCGTCCCCTTGTCCCTCGGGTTCTTGCCTCTCTTCTTACAGACCCGTCTGTTCCTGTCTCGCGCCTTCACGCGCTTGTCGCGGCTGTCGCTGACTTCGCCTCTACCCGCCGCCTTGACTACGCTACCGCTCTGGTCTCTGACCCTGCCCGTCCTGCGTCCGTCGGGGGTGCACCTGCCCTTGGCAGTGACGTTCTAGAGGACAGGCAGTACGAGCTTGCTTTCCTTTCCGAGGCCGCTCCCCATCTCTGCTCCATGCTCCTAGTCCCAGAGGGTGACCCAGACGCCTTCGACATCCCGACCCCTCGCACTTATGCTGAGGCCACCTCGGGACCTTGGGCCTCTCAGTGGATAGCTGCCATGGAGCAAGAGATGGCATCTTGGAGGT